TTTTTTTATTTTATATTTGTTTGTTTTTTTCTTTTTTTTTTCTTTTTTCATTTTTGTGAATACTTTTTCCACAGTATTAAAAACGCAAACTTGTGATTCGGTCAAAAAACAAGGAGATAAAGACAGCCTTTTTGCACATACATAATATCTTTGGTATGTTCAAAGAACAAGTTAACACTTGCACTTTGGGTGCCTGTAGCACAGAGCTCCTTTGATATTACGTCCCATCATCAGAAATGCAGTGCTTTCCCAATGAAAGCGTATGTAAGCACAACTGCCAGTCTCATTTTTAATTTTCAGTCCACTCAGCAAATCTTTCCTATACATGTAATTTCTCATCAAAGCAGCACATGGCAGACAAATGGCAAATTTCCGACCATTCTTTTCTTTGGCCACAATTTTCCAGCACAATCTGACTTAATGGGGAGCATCTCTAAACATCAGTTTTTTTAAGTATTGTCACAGGTTCTGGATTAGATCTGCTTTAATAGCATGATGCCGGTGGCAGCAGCATCATGCACCATGCACGATGCCTGATGAAGCTGCCAGTGAAGCACTGTGGGGACGATATCTTCAGGCTTTTGGCCAGTGACAGTTTTTTTTTTTTTTTTGTATGCTGCATGCATTGCAGTTTGCATGTAAATCAAAAAGTCCACACTTGGTCTCATCTGTCTGGAGCACCTTACGCCACATTTTTGCCTGTTGCTGCAGATCACACTTCTTATGGCTTTCTTCTTGCCACATTTTCATGAAGAACAGGTTTGCAGATTTGGATTTCTATAGCTAGTCATTTCCTGTAAGCAGATTCTCCTACCTGAACTGTGATTCATGCCTAGTTAGGCAAGAGGTTGTGCCAGACTCTTCAGTTTTTGTTTTCTAACAAACTTCTCAGGAACAACTGATTGCACTAAATGTTGTCCAGGAGTTTCAGATTTCTATGTATGAAAACATAAAAGGTTTATAAATACTTCTGCAAAGCACTGCATAAATGCGAGTGTGGCTGTCTAAAGCACCTAATGAGTGTTTAGCACAGAACCGTCAAACCAACTTCAGAAAGATACATTTTATCATCCCCATTAAGGTTCTGGAGTTCTCTGTAAACCCTGTGAACAAGTTGCCAAAAGTTTGGAGGAGGAGTAATATCCTACATTATGGAAGAAAATGGAATTTTCCCTTGTCTTGTAATCCAGGTCAGATGTTTCTTGGTTCATGAAAAGTCAGCTGGTGAACATGGCACATGTGATGATGTAAGATGTCAAAACTGCAAGAATCTATCAGATCTTATTGTAACTATTCACACCTAAAATGCTGCAGAAAACACTCGTAAAGAAAACAGAAATGAATTATTTGCATGCATTCTAGTTTATGCATGAGTTTCATGGTGCATATGTAAAAACAGAGCACATATTTTTTTCATCATAAACAGACAGGAGAGGATGGATCAATCAATCAATCAATCAATCAATCAATCAATCAATCAATCAATCAATCAATCAATCAATCAATCAATCAATCACACATTGTACTTTAAATTGTCTAATGCATCAGCTTCTAAGCAACAATCACCAATCTGACCAAAAATATTAAACTAAGTAAATAAAACAATAATAATTATAAAACAATCACAATACAAAATGTAGCAATAGCAGCTGTAAATGAGGAAACTCCAGAGAGGTTATAACCAATAGAAAAACATATTTGGACTTCTTAAGCAAATAGACAAAACTTAATATTTCATTAGTGACGCATTTGAAAACAATGCCATATAAAAAAAGAAAAATATTTTAAAAGTTTTAATTTGCAACGCAGTAGAACAAGACAAAGACAAACCTGATAAAAATGTGATGAACAGATGAATGAAACTGACATGTTTATATCTTATCAAAAAAATAAAAAATACTGATAGAAATTCTTTTATCAACCTTTTGAGTTTGCTTTTTTTTCTTTTTCATCTTTTTTTCTAAGATAAAAACAGCATCAGTTTCATTATAAGAAATGTTAGCGCAGTTTGAAACTTTCATTGTTCAAGTTTCATTATTCTTTTGAATTTACCATGAAACTTCAGTGTGTTGAGCTTTTTGGATTTTGCTGCCTGTCAGATTTTCTCTCCACTAAATATACATTGTTTTATTATTCAAGTTGGGTTATCTTTTGTCTTATTTACTTGAGGAAATAAATGCGTTTTCAATAGCAGAAATGTTAAGCTTTTTAAAAGTCTGAGGGACTGTGACTGAACAGCAGAAACTTAGGAGCCAATTGTTTTTAAGGCGGGGCCAGTGTTTATTCAGCTCCTCCCATTGGATCTACCATGATATTAACTAATTTCTAATGGTGCAAATATTGTTTTATTAGGCCTTATATTGCAGTGCATTGTGTTATTATGGCAATAACAGACATTCTACAATAAATACCTATACGTGAATATTTTATTTAGACAGGGAAAACGTTCAGATAATTGTTTTTTTCTATCTAAATTTGTAATACTAAATTTATTTCATTTGATTATGATGCAGCTTAGAGCAGTGTCACATAAGCTAAGTGTGTTTTTGTTGTCTCTGCGAGCTGTGCACCTGTGGACAAACTTCACAGCAGCAGTAGAAGCACCAGCAGTGTTTGCCCTCCCTCGGCTTGGGGCGGGTCTCCGCCACTCCACCCTCAGCTGCTCTCAACCTTTTGGTCGCATTTGGCTGCCGGATGTGCACGTGGGAGCATATGCAACAAGTGAATGAGTTGGCACGCGCGCTCGGTCCGGCTTTTTAAACTTTTTTTTTTGCCCCGCTATTGGTCTGTCTCGAGACCGATGCTGTCAGCTCCCGCGCGCTCCTCTATCTGCGCCCAGCTCTGTCGCAACGAAGGAGAAACTCTCGTGAGCTCCAACTTTTGAGAGTTTCTGAGAATGAGCTTCGCATAACGTCGACTTTTCGCTTGTTATCTACCCCCTCCTCTTGTGTTTGCCCCGCTCTACTGCATAGAAGTATGGTAGATAAAGGCCCCTTGCTGACTTCTGCCATCATCTTCTACCTCTCCATTGGGGCAGCGATATTTCAGGTCCTGGAGGAGCCCAACTGGAAAGACGCTGTGAAGCAGTACAGAAAGCAGAAGGAGAAAATACTCGAGGACTACCCTTGCCTGTCCAAAGATGACCTGGATAAAATATTAGAGGTATGTTATTTATATTGGTTATCAGAGAAGTAGCTGTTTATAACTTATCTCTGCTTGGTTGCAACAAAATGAATGGGCGTGCTCTTATAGAGGGGTGACACAGGATGAGTCTCAGCTGGTTTGTAAAGCTTTCACTGAAAACTAACAGAAGTCCTGAGGAATGAGCTGGTGCGAGGCTGAGGGTCAACATACCCTCCAAAGAGGCGCCTCAAGGCCTGAATTCTCTCCCGCACTAAAACTTTTAGACGTTGCCTTATCTCCCTGTGGCTGAATGATAAGTCATTTATGACACGCAGCTGACTGATGCAAATTTTCTCTCCTTTGTCTGGAGGAGTCATTGTTCAAGAGGTTGCAGAACCCAGTGGAGTTTGTGCTTCTTCTCACAGTTTTTTTTTTTTTTTTTTTGTGGGGCCTGTGCTGGAGTCGTTCAGCCGGCAGGGACTGAACTTATAAGGGATTTTTATTTATTTATTTATTTTCCTATTTGGTTGACATATGATTTTTTTTTTCTTTGAAATCTCAAAACTTTACATTCATTTGAAATGTTTGAACATGGCAATAATTTCTCTTTCTCTGTATCAGGCTCTTTGCAGCTTAATTAACTTATTTGGTGAAAGTGCTGCCTTTTCCTCTCATTTTCCAATCCCAGAGACATGTCTGAACCTGTGCCCCCTTTTTGGGTCCAGTGTCAGGGGGATTTATTATCCTCCCCATCCCCCCTTCTGTCTCTCCTCTTTGTGTGCTGGTGGGGGGACTGAAAAGGGATATGCCTATGAACCTCCCTCCCACCCCTTATTCATAACAAATCTGCTTGTGAATGAAATCAGCGGTGTAATCTGGTTGGATGATTTTGGAAATTTCCCATTTTGGCAATTGATTATTAAATTCAACCAAAAGAAGGAGGAAACTAAAACAATTTGTTCTCATGCACGGCAAAAAGGACTACATAAAGTCATGTGTGCGGCTTCACGGCACATTGAAAAGATCGTATCATGTTACTCATTGGGCATTTCACTGTTTTTTTTTTTTTTTTTCACAGCCGTGCAGATAGCGGTTGCCGTTTGCCAAAACACCTGCTGCAAATGTGCTGGTTTAGGTTTCCCTGGCAGAAGTTGTTAGATTTCCATGATGGAAACTTTGTAAGCAGTTAAAACTTATAAAGCAGCTCAACAAGGAAGGCGACACTCGTAAAAGTCAGTCCTCTCTGTTTTATTAACAAGAAGTTTACTATTAACCACAGGCATCCTTGCAGTGGGCACAGTTCACAGATTGGGTTTTATAGCCCATCAGCGTTGGTGCTTGAGAGGCGTTTATAAAGTACGATGAGGGTGCTGCTGGGCAGAGGCTTTATCTCTGCTACAGGCAAAGCATTAAGCCCTCTTCAGTGTATACACTAGAAACATTTTTTTTCCCTTTTTACTCCCTAATTTTTCACAAATGCAAAAAAAAAAAAAAAAAAGCCTGAAGACTTAGGAAGTTTAAAGCATGAAAATACACCTCTTCAACCCGTACAATGCTTGTATGCACATTTGTGCGTCATTTGTAAAAATTTGTTATGCATTTTATTGCTCTGAGTTTAGTGCCATCTTCATGAACTATAAACTTTGGTAAAGATAGAGCCTATATCTGAAACCCTATTTTTGTCTGATGTTGTTGTGAATTGTAAACATGCACACAAAACCTTGTGACCCACTTCCAATCCATTAGCAGAGTATAATTTTTCTTTAAGAACAAAATTGTATTCAAAATATTTGATAGATAACCGATTAAATGCTGCTTAAGCAGTCTTTAATATTTTCGCAACGGTGATCAGGAACCCAAAAATAGTCTCCATTTGTATTTCCTTGTCCTGAAGGACCTGTGTCCTGCAACTGATATGCTCTGGTGAACTGAAGCAGAGACGCATCTAAAAGCTAGAGAACATTGACTCTAGAAAATTGGAGTTTGACACCTGGATGTGACGCCTGGATGTAGATATTTAACTTTGAAATTTCCAGAAGCTAGCCAACATTTCTAAATCTAGCCATCACCCATGTCAGGTAAAAAAAAGCTCCAAAGGATAACTGGTTAGCTGCCATCTGTTCAATCTTCCTGCTATCTCCTGAAATTCTTGCTCTCTCACACACACAGATACCCACACATCTTTAATGAACCACAAAAACATTGTGTGTTTTTAAAAACTCTTCTTAGATCACAGATGATTTCTTGGTGCATCTCCAGTGACTGTCAAACAGAGCTGGGAGTGAAAGAAATTTAGCATGTGGCAGCAAACACACTCTCTAATACCAACCTTAAACTTTTTTTCCCTCGCCTCGGCTTGTGTTTCGACTCATTAACCTCCCTAATTTTAAACACGAGATGAGGCAGATAATTCAGTTTAACCATTTTGCTGCAAAATTCAAGCAGGATTTCAACACCCAACAATCACATGTTTGTGGCAAAACATCCTCTTGCTGAGATACGGGAGGAATGATCAGACAGGAATGAAGTGGTGCAGTGTTTTCAGGAAGAAGTTTTTGTCTCGTGACCTGGATCTTGACTTGCTGTTTTCTATCAGGAAAATGCATCTTCCTCATTTTGAAAGTAGAATGAGTGTAGATACCACCCTTAAGATATTTATTTGTTAGAGCTCTCCCAAAGTGACGTGGTCATTTAATCTTTTCAATCAAGTTCTCAATTCCTCCTTTAAACATTTGAAAAGATTGGGCAGTAATTCAAGTTTAATTAGTTTAACTACAGTATTGATTGTCTTAAAAAATAAAATAAAAAAACTGAAGAATTTAAACTAGTACCATGATTTAAAGCAACTGCAGATGTTCAGTTTTAAGAAGTCCTTTCACTGACAGATTTCTTCTTTTATTATGTTAAATAAAAAAGATCTTAAGGGTTTTTTCTTTCTTAATCAATGAAGTCATAGGTCCTGATTATTGTTGGTGTTGGCGCACTGAGTGGTGTGTACACTCAGATGCTGTTTATAACCCAATTATGGGAATTAATTCATATTGACATGGAGGAGCTTAAGTGACTCTTTTGTTTGTAACTCTGTAAATCTTACAAGCAGCTGCTGCTGCGTTGCAGTTGGAAGTGGAAAAGTACAGAGCAACTGGAGCAGCTTGCTCTGCAACCAGCTGTCTTGGTAACCTTTTCTTTATATTTTGTTTCATTTTTATCTCCCCCAACTGTGTGTTGGGTTATCATAGAGTGACAGAGGATGATTAGTCAGTCAGGGTGACAGAAAACCAATCTGCAGAATAAATAGGAAAATCCTACTTTACAATTTTGGCTTGAAACTTTCTTTGAATACTCAGGAAATCAGTCGTATTGTTAACTTGCAGTAAGGTTGGTAAACGATTCTCATAATTGTGAAAATTGCATCGTTGCTTTTCTTTTTTTTCTTTGCTTATTTGTCCATGTTTACATGACCTCCTGAGCAACACAAATAGACTATAAAGGTGTGTGGATCTTCTCTTCTGTTGAGGAAGAAATGACCTGACCTCTTTGTGGTCATTTCAACTCTTGTCTGCTCAGCTATGAAGAGAACCACCTCTTGTTGGTATTTGTCCTGTCAGCTCACAAGCTCCTTTTAAAGTGCTTCAGACTGACTGCCAGCATAAACCCCCACTGTTTTTTATAAATTCAGCAGTTTTTCTCGGGAAGTCAACAATCATCACTTCCTTATCTGGCAAGAAAAGTGTCATCATGTTTGACTTTCCCGTATTAGGTTAAAATTAGGTGTAAAGCTAAAAACACACTAGCACTGAAAGACCACAGATGTGGTAACACAGAAAGACCACAGATGTGCTAACACGGCTAGTGTTATCTAAACCGCATGCTGTAGAAAATTTTGATCCTTGACTTAAGTTTGATATGCCCAAAACATTCCCAGTAGTAAGAACCCAACATGTCCAGAAAGCAAGAGCAACTTTCTGTTATCCACTGATAGTCCTGCTCTCTTTTGCAGTCTGAATGATTCCCACATCTGCGTTTTTCTCCTTCTTCAGTATTAAATATTTCTGATATGGAAAGTAGCTCACTTTATCTTCACTAAGGAGTTATTTTTTTCCAGCTGAACATGGAAGTACCTTGGCATGGGAGGTTCACTGGTTGTGTGTTGTCAACTGGCCAGTCACGTGTTTTGACTGATAAGGCTGGAAGGTCAATTTCACATGCGCTCAACTGGTTCGAAATTGTTTTATTAAATTTCAAAGATGCCACAGATAACGGTTAAAAAGTCATTGACCTAAGAAATGGTGTCTAAGACCTACAAAATGCCTAAAAAGCATTTAATCAAATGCAGGGAAAACTGTGTTGGATCATTACTGTACAGTACTTTGAGTTGTTTTAAGTCCCACAGCTGTGTTAGCCTTGGATCCAGTGAGATTCTTTTACTATTTATACTAAAACTGGAACACTTTAAGGTCAAATGACATTACACAGATCACTGTTTACTTTAGCTCCTTGTTTATAGAATGTAACCTGCTCCACAGTGCTGAATGGACTCCCGGATTTTCTTTAAAGTTGTGTCTGATCGCGTCATCTTCTGTGTACATTTAACTGGTGCCAAAATCTATTTTATCTTATGGATATTTTTAAAGCAAACACTGATGTTGTGACATGCAAATCCATCAAATTCTTAAGTTAAAGTCTGTCTCAACATAAACGTGATCAACTCAAAGCCTCAACAGTCCAACATAGAAGCTTTGTTTTTCATGCCAAAGAATTGCTCCCCTTTGTCTGGTAATTACAGACCAGAGATGTCGCAGACCTGTTATTATTAAACAACCAAGCTTCATCCAGCATGTTGGAGCTTATGTGAATTTTGCTAATGTGTGCACATTTCCTCAGCTACCAATACACCAGGAGAGGGAGAGCTCGGGGCGATGCATTGTCCCAACACACATGGTCTGGTGTTTGCTTATTCCCAAGAGGGGGAAAGTCCAGTTTTTGTTTTGGCAGCTCAAGGACGTGTATGGTCAAGAATGATTGATTAGGAGCTGTTCGCCTCAAGCTGTGGTTATGGAAGTATGACATGCAGGGGTTGTTTTGAAGACAACTTTCTTGAGACTTCTTTCTTTCGTCATTGTGCAACTGAAGTTTAGAGGATGTGGCACTTGCTTTCCTGTTTCTTACTGATGACATAAGCAGCATCCCATGGTTCTGTTGGTTAATCTGCTGGAGATGCAATCTGCCAGGAAGGATATGATAAAACAAATTACATCTTCACTTATCAGATTTATCAGACTCCTTTGATCTTAGCTGAATTGAAACTTTTTAAATTCACCAATGTTTATTTACAAGGCTGAGGTTGACGATCTTATGTTTACAAACCAACTCTCGTTCAGTCTAATTCTATAAGGTTCTATTGTATGCAGTTTAACAATGTTGTTTTCTTTTGTCTTCAGGTAGTGTCTGATGCTGCAGGCCAAGGGGTCACCATAACTGGCAGTAAGACGTTTAACAACTGGAACTGGCCAAATGCTGTCATCTTTGCTGCTACAGTCATCACCACCATCGGTACGTGTGATTTATCATAAAATTCAATCAGTTTTTTTTTAGAAGCAGATTAAATGACATTTCAATTTTAGAAAGTTTTTTGCACCAACGTCCGATGCCGTCTGTCGTTATTTGCATAATTTTGGATTGGCACCTGGGTCTCTTGTAGTTTACAATTATAGCTTCAGACAGAATTTCACAAGGGGGTGTAACAGAGAAATCGAACTTACACGGAACAATGAGATATTAAAAAATGTTAGGATGAGTGTATTACAAGAAAAATGGAGGCAGCTTTGCCATCCTGAGAAGTATTTCAGGATGCTAATAGCTAATTTACACATAATGCTAAAAAATAACTGTAGGAGAAATGAAGGTCAAAAATAGTCACAAGATTTTGCATAACCACTTCTCTCTTGGTTTCCAACAAATCATGAAGTGGGAAGTAGAAAAAATATGAGAATTTTGTTTTTAAATCCTGTAAATATCTTTAAAGTTTTTGTCATATTTTTAAAGATGTAACACCTGCTCATTTTTTCCTGCTATCTTAATATTGCTTTGTGGTTTCACTCAACAGCATACTTTGGATTTATAGTGTTTCTCATCAAAATCAATAGGTTGGGCTGATGGATGTATTATAGACCCGCTCTCTGGGTTAACCAAACTTAAATGTAAGACTACCATCCATCCATCCATCCATCCATCCATCCATCCATCCATCCATCCATCCATCCATCCATCCATCCATCCATCTTCTGTACACCCTTGTCCCTAGTGGGGTCGGTTGGGGTGCTGGTGCCTATCTCCCTGGACAGGTCGCCAGTCCATTGCAGATGTTAGACTATTGAATTGAAATTTTTATGCAAGTTTTATTTCAGAAATTGGCTCATTAAATTATTGCAGGTAAACGAATTCTCTAGAATGGATTTATTTGTTGATTCGTGGCATTTTTGCCACCTGATAAATATAACGCATTCGTGGCTTTTTGTCTCCTTTTTTTATGCTAAAATCTAATTTGCGAGTTCTGGTATCTGCTGTTGGACATGTCTGCCTAATCTCCTGTTTTAAGCTCACTTTATTTTTTATTTCAATCTTTAAAGGATATGGAAACATCGCCCCTAAAACCTCAGAAGGTCGGGTATTTTGCATCTTCTATGGGCTTTTTGGGGTGCCCCTTTGTCTTACCTGGATCAGTGAGCTGGGCAAGTTTTTTGGTGGCAGAGCAAAGCACCTGGGACAGTTTCTAACCAAAAAGGGGTTTTCATTGGTAAGTTGTTTCTACTTTTAGTTCTTCAATCCTTCAGGAAACATCTGGTTTTCTCTCCCCCCCGATATAAATATTTGTTTTATTTTCCAGAGAAAAGCCCAGTTTACCTGCACAGCCATCTTTCTTCTCTGGGGTGTGCTGGTCCATTTAGTCCTTCCGCCTTTTGTCTTCATGTCCCAGGAGGGCTGGACGTACATCGAAGGGTTGTATTTCTCTTTCGTCACCTTGACCACGATTGGTTTTGGGGACTTGGTTGCAGGTGAGCGGATAACTGAAACGATAAAAATAGATTAGAGTTTCGTTTCCTAAAAAAAAAAAAAAGTCTATGAAATGTACTGTGCACAGTAACCCTTATTTTAGACCTTAAAATTGTAGGCTGTAAATGACATTCAGTGATGTTTGATCGTTCGTAGCTTCTTTGATCAACTGCTCTTTCTTAAGTTAAGAGCTCTACTGGAAGTGTTCAGCAATGGCTGTGAGAAAACTTATCTGTGTCAGATAATAAGATCTTATAGTTTTAAATTTAACTTGAATTTAAATTTAACTTAACTTTGTTCTTTTTCACCACAGAGAAATATTAACATTTTCTCTATTTCTGTAGGTGTGGAGCCAAATAAAGAGTATCCAACTCTGTACCGTTACTTTGTGGAAGTCTGGATTTATCTGGGGTTGGCCTGGCTGTCCTTGTTCTTCAACTGGAAAGTGCGGATGGTGATTGAAGCCCACAAGGCTTTGAAGAAACGTCGCAAGCTGCGCAAGCTATCTCTTGAAGAGATGCGCCATTACAAAGAATCTCACAAAGCTTCTCTTCGTTTGCCGCCCACTCCCAACGATGTGAACATTTTCAGCTTCTTGTCCAAGAAGAAGGAGGGGTACAACGACTTAATAAAGCAGATTGGTAGTAAAAATGAAGGTAATCACAGGACCGGTGACTCCAGCAAGAAAGCCAAAGACATGAGTCGCTCCAAGAGTTGCAATGATGCTCCAGAATTCAACGGTCACACCATTCTCAGCCTGGACCGTTCACCACGCCAAAAGAGACGCTACAGTTTCAGCGACCGTGTTACTGTCGCCTTTTCAAAGTCCAAAAACTACCTGCTGGGCTCAGATAATGGTTTATTGCTAACAGAAGACCAGGGGGAGGGTGACCCAGAACGAGACCAAAACCAAATGTACGAGAACCAACTTGACAAAGACGTTGATGTAGAAACCAAGGCCGCTGGAGACTGTGGGGTGGGAGGTCGGAGGACGTGGGACTCTAAAGAGTACCATCCTCTAACCATTCAGAATGCAAACATAACTTTCATAGATGAAGAAAACTTTCTGAGCAGTAACCTGGAGGAGCTGGATGACGAGGACGCAGATGATGACTCTAAGGCAAAAATCTCCATCACAACATGTGATGAAAACATCGAAACAAACTCCAGGGAGGATCAGAGTTCTGAATGCGACGGGTCTGTTTTTACAAGTGACGGTTCGGAACACAGCCACTCCTATGAGAAGCTCGTGGAGGAATACACGAAGGAAGACAACACAGAATCCTGAGCTGTGAAAGCTGACCAACTTGGTCGAGAAATCTCTTTGGCCCTGTAGTGTTGGCTGGAAGTATTTGTATTCCAATGTGAAGCATTCAAGTGCATATCAAACATCTGAGATCAACTTTGAAATGGACAATCAAACTCCACACTAATAAAGAACAATAGAGCATGAGTTGTAACCTCATGAGGAGTCAACGTCTGCTCATTGAATGACTTTCTTTTTTCAGTCGGTTTGAAGAAAAAATCACAAGTTATTTTGATGTATTCAAACCAGCAGCAGTTGTTTGTGAGTGATTTTTATTCCTGCTCATAGCCTGAAGTTATATGTGGAAATTGGTTTGATTTCCTATAGTTTCAACTATTTCTCTTCACCATATTGGTGCTTTTAAAGATATTTATTAACATGAAGGACAGTGTAGCGTTTGAGTTGCCGTGTGGGTTTATGCATCTGCTGTTGCACAATTTCAGTCAGATCAGGGTGTATGAAATTCCACTCCAGGGCAGACTTGCTTTTACAACCTGAGCCAAGCTTTTGTCTTAAAATTAAGGGGTGAAGGAAAAATTTTTTTTTTTTTTTTTTTTTTTTTTTTTTTGTATTTCATTTATTAAGGTAAGCTCTTGATCTTGTCAGAAATTGGTGTTTATATTATGAGCAACCCAACTGTGATGTCCTCCATCTGAGCCCTTACACCAACCGAGAGAGAAAATGATTAGAAACGGTAATGAAATACAAGCCGAGTTGAGCCTCCTTGAACACTTTTTTTTTTTTTTTTTTTTTTTTTCCCTTTTTTTTTCTTTTGCTTTTTCCCCCCCAGTAGACCCCTTTGCCA